TCTGATTGGAGGGAGAGCTAACCACGCCCACTTAGGAGACAGGAAGTAACCGTTTTCATAACATTGGATAAGCCTACAGTGGGGTATCTCCTTTATCCAATATCTCTGGTACGGTCATTAATTACAATAATGTCCGAACCACACCTCCACCAAAGAGTCTGCCTGCCTGCTTGCCTGCCTGCCTGTCTGTCTCTGATGTGTCCACAGTGACCTCATCATCATCATCTTCATCAGAAGTGTGTCTTTGTCCCACAGATCTCTCCGTTCATCCTCAACACAGTGATGACCATAACAGCCGCTATGACGGCGAAGCAGCATGATGAGCAGAGTTTGGATCTGCAGACGGATGTCAGTGACCTCTGGTCGGTCATGAACATCTACAGCTGTAACTACTGGTTCCTGGGAGTTGACCAGGCCACTGAGGTCACAGAGAGCTTCAGAGAGCAGGACGGGCACAACGAGGGTGAGAGCTTCACCGCAGAGGTCAAGGTACGACCTTCCAGCGCCTCCCAAAAAAAATCTGATTCTGAAACTTTACAAAGACATGATCCAATCTGTTTCCTGTTGACGAGGTGTGGTCACCCTACAGGTGGTCCAGGTGACTCTGGAGTCCGGTTTGGGTCATCGGACCGTCCCTCTGCTGCTGGCCGAGTCCTCCTTCAGCGGATCAGCCAAAAATTGGTCATCTCTGCTGCAGCTGAGAGCCGACATGACGCTGGAGGTGAGAACTGAACCTGAACCTGAAACTGAAATTGAACCTGAACCTGAACCGGTCCATCACGCCCGATAACATTAAAATCAGTTCCCTGCAGGGATTTCTTTACACTCCATAGATCTGTAACTATGGAATAAGTCTGTTGGAAACCATGTATATAGGATCAGGATCGTTCTGGAGAAACACCTGAAACTCATCTTCACATCTCCTGACCACTTTAACAACACTCGTCACATTCACCCGTTTACACGCTGGTGTTTGAGACTGCGATTTAGGTAGGGCTGACCCAAAAAATTTGAAAATTCGAAGCTTCATTCGATGGCACGGGATTCGATTGTGAAAAAAAAAAGAATATTCATCCTTTTTTTTCTTCCGTTTTTTGGGGGACCTTGAACGCAACACCATCTCTGACAAGGAAATAGAAAGCCCGACGTGCAATGAATGGAGACCTATTATCCTGCTTGAACACAGACAACTAAATTCTTTCAACAATGTGACTCAAAATAATGATGAAATAGATTTTACTGATGTAAAATAATATGCTCATGGTGACATTTTCCACCGGTCCGCTGCACTCTGAGTCTGGTGTCAGTGACACATGCTGCTCTAATTCGCGCATCTGTCTGCTTGCGCTGTGCGCATCCCATTTGAAACAACTTCAGAAAGTACTGAGTTTGAAATGACAGCGTGATGCATTAACTTCATCAAGGCAATGGGAGCGGATAAAAAGTAGAAATATAAAGATACAGAGGGAATGATAAATAACGGCCCTTTTATGATGTAGTCTGTTTGAAGTGAAGCTGGTAGCCTCTGCAGCTGTGGTGAGTAAAAGCCACTATTTTTAAATTTTCTTACTTTAAGTGAATGTCAGTTTTTCCAGTATCGTGCAGCCCTAGTTTGTCCAAGGATACTTGACTTGTGGACTGGAGGAGATGGGGATCAAACCGCTGATCTCCCAATAGGTGAACAACCTTTTAGGTTGAGTGTAGTGAAACTGACGCACAACAGGATGGATGAGTGATGGGCTGCTGCTGCTGCTGCTGCAGAAACAAACATGAAGATGTTTTATGTCTGATGAATGTTGACCACTGTTGTGTGTCTGCAGGTGAACTACTTCAATGAGATCCAGGCAGTGTGGGAGCCTTTGATCGAACGAGTCGACAGTGGCAGACGCAGGTGGAACCTGGAGCTCGAGGTCAATCACACATAAACACTGAAACCATCACCACACACTGACAAGTACACATTATATGACTTCACCTCAAGGTGTCTGTCAATGCAGAACTGTTTATAAAGGATGTCTCTGCTCAGTTCTCCCCCCTCCCAGTCTTTAAATGTTGATATCCTCATCCGTGCAGATGAAGAACAACCCAGTCCAGGACAAGAGTCCAGTTCACGGAGATGACTTCGTGATCCTACCTGAACCTCGAACAGCCGTCAACATCTGCTCCAAAGACACCATGAACATCACCGTCTCCCATTGTAGCCTCAACGTGTTGAACAACCTCGCCAAGGTACGACACATCCTCTATAACCTCACCTAGATACAACACATCCTCT